AAGGGAACTTTATATTCTCTTATCTTGAAGGATGGACGAGAAATTGAAGGAGATGGAATGAAAGCGAGAGAAAAATGGAGAAGAGAGACATACTCTATAACCTAAACGGACAGTGTTAAAAGAAATAAATTTTAGACTTAACTCAACTTAAAAAATATTGTTAAGAGCTGAAAATTGCCTAAGCCATATAAATAAATCATCCATTCCATAAACTTTTCATTGGGACACTTCAACACCCTCATCCCTCATTCCCAAGTTGAATATCTGCAGCGAGGACAATTTATAATAATATGGAGACTCAATATTGTATTATGTAAAATTGGAATGTATGCTCTAATACCATATTAGAGAAATGAATTTTGGGCCTAATTCAATCTCAAAAATTAGTTCAGGAGATTGAGAATTTCTCTTGTACTTGTATGTTCTACATGTTATCTAATGATGCCCTTTGTTTTCTAGATAAAGTGGAGCCCATTTAGCAAACACAACTCCTTCAGCATTAGCTGGCACCTTAATTATGAATTTACATTCACAATGTGAATGTATATATATAAGTTAAATAAAATCAATCACCCAATACATGTCACTGGCATGTCCATACAAAAGAGGAAAAAGCTTAGAAGAACATATATACTTGTGTATTTTTCCTAGACTAGAGAGCTTTTTGTATTATCAAGATCACATCTGCAAAGCTACATAGAATTTTGAGGACTTATTGTAATGTTTAACAGATTAAGTATCACATGTATACTCATCATTTCAGCTTAGGGGATTGGGCACTTCAATTCACTCAATTGTGATGATTTTCATGTATTGGACTTAGAATAAGGGCAAATTTGAGTGTTAGTTCTTGCATATAAAATGCATCTATTGGTGAACTCCACATGATTTTCATACAGATATGTTGTAAACCAATGTCAAATATGATTTCATGTCTAGATTAGATTAACTATAGGGTTCACTATATATATATACTCCCTCCGTCCCATTTTATATGTCACCTTTTTACTTTGCACTTGCATTAAGAAATGATGTTACTTTACCCTTCTACCCTTATTTAATGTTTTCTTAAGTTAACTTTATTAATAAATAACAAAATTAATTAACTATTCTATCAAGGGTATAATAGGCAAAATATGGTAATTTATGCATAAATTTTATAAAATGACAAGTATTGTGGTCCAGCTATTTATAGAAATGAATGACATGTAAAATGGAACGGAGGGAGTATATATATAAAAAATATGAATTGTTCAAGTTTGGAAATTGGATATATAGTTGCGTTGGGGGTAATTTCATGAGGCCAAGGATAAGATAAGTCGAAGTAACGAGGTTCAATTAAACCCTTTCGCTGAAAGATTATATTGCGCAAATAGGTTAAAAGTGAATATTTGTAATATATATAAATGGTTGAATTTCCTTGACACACGCACATATGCTAACGTAGAAACAAAGGGGTTAAATTTTCTTTTAAGCATAAATAAATTCAAACATAGTATTCTAGTGTGGTGATATTATTTTTCTGATTTCCCTAATATGAATTCTTGACTTTCCCCTTGAACAAGGCTTCTGCCTTATGCAATGGTGGAATGAACATTTTCATTGGTCATATTCGGAGGCGGATCTAGGAACTTTATGGGTTCTAAATTTGGAACAATAATTTTAAGTGGTAATTACTAGGTTCTGAATTTAATATTTGTACATATTTAATAAATTTATTAATACAAATATACTATTTGAGCAAGAGTGATTACGTTTAGGCGAACCTGTGTACGGACTACTAGCTCCGTCCTTGGCCATACCCAAACAATAGAAGTGAATAAATCATTTACTATACATTGGACCACCATTCATTTCTTTTGCTTAATAGCGAAGTTGTAGCTGCCCTTGCCAGAGTTACAAAGTACTATTCTCTCTGTCAACACTTACATTATTATTGCCATTTGGACCATAAGTACATGCATTTGCATTTAGTTTTAAGGTAAAGAAGAACTGGTTTTGGGTTTTTCTTGTTCTACTTGAAAAAACAAAAACAATTACTCTACACTCAAAACACTACTTTGTTCTTCTATTTTATTACTGTTGTTACTGGTGGGTATAGTAAGAATAAATAGAAAATGGAGGGAATATGAAGTGTTCTTTTATACTTTAAAGAATTTCTCCCTCATTAGTGGTGAAAAGGAAAGTTCAAGTGTTTAAATAAGGAAATACTTCTACTTGTTAAAAAGGTCGGAAAGAATAACCCCTTGCGCCGTCATCGTCGCTCGACTCCAGCCAGAGGCGAACCTAGGATTTGAAGATAGGAGGCACTACTGAGAGTGACTCAAGGGTAAGGTTAGGAGTGGCACAAGGGTAAGGTTATTAAAGCGCTTGTTTAGGCCTAAATGGATATTCTTTCTCTTGGACCCGGTTTAAGTGACTGCAAATCAAACTCATCTATAAAACACGAAGAATTGTCCTAATACTAGCCTTGGTTGAGAAGAATTATCTTTTGTCAAAATCTATCCATTTCAAATCACAAGAATCAACAACAAATTCTTACAAAAAATATGTCCTTAAAAAGAAGAACTTACCAATTTATATAGAGATAATAGGAGCAGAACTTCAATTATGTAGTAAAGAATACTTGTAAGTTATAAGTTGTAGATTTTCTAGCAGTCTTATATTTTGTTTGGAATTGTGCCAGGGCTTTTATTTGTCTTTAATTTTAATTAACAAAGGAATGGGGTTAGATGAGATGGCAAAAAAAAGGGTGGCTAAGAAAGGGGGTGGCGCCAGATGAGGTGGAAAAAACGAGCTTTAATAAAAAATAATTTTTTAAAGGAAAAATTGTACATAATGACAAACTATTAATTCAAATTAATTGGTATAACCACACTTTGCTTTAATTGTGCCCTGTAGCAAACTGGTTGTCAATCGCCTCTCTCCCTCAAACTCTTGCTCGCCACTGTCCCTCTCTCGCTCGCTCTTTCTGTCGCTCGCCTCTCTCGCTCGCTCTCTCTGTCGCTCGCCTCTCTCGCTTTATACAAACAGAAATGTATAAATTGTATTTCTGTTTGTATAAAGAGAGAGAAAATTATATATACACATGCAAATACATATATCTTCGTCCTATACACTTATAATTATACAATACAAATATTCTCCTGTCTAGTTCTCTTTTGCCTTTCTCTCTTTATACAAACACAGATTATACAAAATACAACGTATAATTTATGTTTGTATGAAGCGAGAGAGAACGATATTTGATATACAAACGTTTTATTTTGATTCAATTGTATACAAATTCAAATTTTATACATACATACAAACACATAAAATTAAATTGAGAGACTCTCAACGATTTATACAAACGAGAGGCTGACAACAATTTATACAAATGGCCTGCCAGCGAAATTATACAAATCTGAAGAGAAGCCAGCGAATTATACAATTGCTTCTTTTGTATATATGTATAGCAAAATAGCCTAGTCATAGCATGTTTGCTATGGAGCGCAATTATGCAAACTTTGCTATAACATACAAATATGAATTTTGTGTTTGTTATATGTGAAAGTTCTCTTTTTTAAAAGGTTAACTCTAAAGAAAAGCTTATTTTAAAGTAAAAAAATACGTTACCTTTGGTGGGGATCAAACTCGGGCAGTCCCACTTTGAGAAGGAGACTTCGACCAATGCACCAAAGAAACTTTTAGTTAGTAAGATGCACAATTAAATATATTACTGTTTTATTAACTGTCTATACACACACATATATATATATATATATATATATATATATATATATATATAATTATTTTTTTTTATTTTTTTTTATTTTTTTTTTAAAAAAATTACCGGGTGCACGTGCACCCTCACGGATGCATGTGGGTCCGCTGGAGCTTCGACTCCGAATGATCGATCAAGAGATTATCCACGTGACTCCATTTAGTTTCTTTCTCATTTTATTTAAAATTTCCGTCGTTTTTAATGACTGTTCAATCTGATTGAAGGTTGAAGCAACTGACACTCAACAATCCATGATCAATTCATCTAAATCTGAAAATCTGAGGCATGCATCTGAAATAGCATAATTCTGATCATAGTCAAAACATGTTAAAGTTACTATTTAAGTGTTTTACTAATACAGATTGGTTAACAACTACTTGTTTTCTTCTTCATTATATTCTGTATGAGTCTGACTACTTCAATATTCCATATCCTTTTATACTTGATTTTAATATATTTTATTAGAGTCTATAGAAAACAATTTTTTTATCTTTCACACAATAGTACACACTACCCTTCCTTACTCCTATAATGGATATATTGTTGTTGTTAATTACCCTTACCCTTCAAACTACTTCCTCTATTTCATGTTAATATAACCCAATATCCCCTTCTTATGTACTCCTTTACAAGCTTTTGACTTCAAATTTTTCATGATTTTTTAAATTTATTTTAACCTTACTAGTTACTAACACAATCTTAATTACAATATACGTTACATACCACAAATTCCAAAAGTACTAAGCTAGGAAAAGGAAACTGAAAGAATATATTTTAAAGAAAGAAAGAAAAAAAACAAGATTCCCCTAGTTTAGTACCACAAAGAACAGAGATATGCTGGTGCAGCTGTATTTTGGCTGTATACAATCTCTGTATATCACATATAATTTCCTAAAAACAGGAAAAAGATACACTGTATATCCCTAAAAACTTCACTTTATCAGAACAATAAGGCTGTTGTAAACAGGAATAAAAGAGAAAAGACCCATAAAGCAACATTTTACAAAATAAGAACCAAAAAAAAAAAAAAAAACAAGAAATTTGCAACATATTTAATAAGGTAAATCAGTATATATCTATAATTACAAGAAATACCAAAAAAAAACATACAAATAACTAAACTTAAAACTCTTACCCTTTTTCACTCTAATTTTTTCTTCTTTTATCCACTTTTTTTTTTACCCTTTAATTTCAAAATTAATCAATGAATCCTCCAAAACCATAATTAAAAAAAAATATACTTGTGATTTGTCTATTTTACCCCTTCCATTGCCCACACTGAGCCGTGGGCCGGGACTTCTGCTTCCCGGCTTTCAATGGGCAAGGGGTCTGAACCGGCAAAACCATGCAATTATACTGCAAACACAATGAACTCCGAACCGGAATTTCTGCGGCCGGATTGATAGCTATTCCGGTTAGAAAATTATGTTGCAAATACAAAACATGTATATTAGCTGATAACAACCGGTCTACCATGATCCCCGGAACCTGACCCATGAACCGGTTGTTATTCATATATAAAATCTGTACACCGGAGAACAATGGCGATATTTCGCCGTAAAACCGGTTGAAGCTAAGGTCCACAACCGGAATTGTTACTAAACCGGCCGGGTAAATTCGACCGGTGAATTGGTTTCTTTGTAGCTGAAGATTTGCTATCGGAAATCTAAATAAGTTCCCCGGGATACAACCGGTGAACCGGTTTATACTAAGGTCGAGATAGTTTAACCGGTTTAACCGAGTAAGTAAATGGTCGACCGGACCGGTTAACTGGTTCGATGACATTGAGAGGTATTGAAGTGAAGAAGGAAGTGACATTGGCAATAGCGAACCGGAAAGAGCATTGTGTTTGATATCGAGCCGGGTTAATCTAAGGGATACGAAAGGCGGTACTGAACCGGATAAATGGTTGTGGCAGAGAATGACATTGTTGAGCGCCGGGAGGGTTCCGATGGCCCATGGAATGTTTCCGGTGAGTTGATTGAAACTAAGATCAAGAGTTTGAAGTCGCCGGAGTTTACCTAAACCCGCCGGAATCCGTCCAGATAGAAAATTTCGACTAACTCCGAGAAATCTTAAGTTGTTCAACTGTGAAAAACTTTCCGGCAATACTCCGAATACCTTACCGGGGACGACAGTGAACTCAGCTAAAGCAGAGAGTTTCCCAATAGCCGGGTTTAATCTTCCGGTTAGACCCGGCGACCCGGCTCTCGGGTCACCCAGATTCAATGCGATCACTTTATCACCAGCACAATAAACTCCGGCGAAGCTACATGGGTCGGAAGTAAAATCCCAAGAAGAGAAAAAATTCGAACCGGGTAAATCATTGAGGGTTTTACGAATCGCTTGTAAAGCCAAGAAATCAATGGGGTGAAGCATTGCACCACATTGTTGAATAACAATAACATGAAACAGAAACATCAACAACAAAAACCTCATGATTAATTAATTGTTGCAGAGGTGAAGAGAGAGTAAAATTAAAATGGGGGTTTATATAAGGGGAAAAAAGTAGAGACTTTTGGGTATTGCTTTTCCGTGAGAAGCAAACGAGTTCTCGTGTGGAGATAGGTGGAAGCTTTAATGGCTACAGCATGAAAAAGAAGAAGTTGATATAAGGAGAAAATGAGTGGCTTCTGAGAAAAGCAACAGCTAACAAATGGAAAAAAGAAGAAGAAAAATAAGTTTTAATTTTCTGATTTGAATCTTGTTGGAGAATACTCTATATGGTTTTGGTGAGGAAGAAAACAGAGCAATGAGCAGAGCTACCAGTCAGGTTAATGTTTTTCTGTTACATCGACAAAGACGATGTGATAGAGTAATAAGTACTCCTTTAATATAAGATTGCATTTGTTAGAAAATATGTAAAATTTCTCTATGCGAATTTCAATTTAATCGGAAAGGGAAAATAATAGAAAAAACTAATAAAATATTTTTTGTGTTTTTGATTTTTTTTTTTTGTGGTTGATTTTTGTTATGGTTAATGTGAAATTGTTTTTTTCTTAAAAAGAATAAAGTACTAGGATTTTTGTTTGTTTTGTTTTGTTTATTTATGTGGTATGGGTGAGCAAGCTGTAATCCGAGCCTATGTGTATAGTCCGAGCTTAAGTTTGGAGTGACAGATCATCAGGCTCGGGTTTTTTATGGTGATTAGGACGAGTACCACGAGACCCTTTGTGCTTGTTCTTTTATATCAAACAAAGAGAAAACATTTTTCACTATTTATATTTTGTTTGTTAATTCAGTAACATTTTATGGAATTGCATCAATTAATGTAAAATACTAAAACCTGATAGCTAGTAGTTTTTCCTCTTAGAAGACTAAATTTTAGTTCTCGGTGCCAAATTTTTTGTTGGTTTCTATTCGATATATGATATTTTATTAGAGTCTTATTAATTTTAACGGCGCTTTTAATAAGAGTTTTTTTCATATTCAAGACTTGAACGGATCGAAATTTTTAATTAATGATGGAGAAAATTTGCTTTGGTACTTGAAATTTTTATTATTTAGAAAATTGGTATGCTTGCTTGTCATTATAAAGGCAGTTTCAAGTGTCAAAGCAAATCAACATGCCTGCTTTGGTATTTCAAGAATAGTTGGTAATTTTTTTGTGGTTTCCTTAACTTAATTTGTTTATCTTATTTTTTTTTAGGCTTTTACGTATTTAAAAATTGCATAAAATAATTATAAATAGCAATAGTACTAACAATTACAACAAGTCGTAGCTTAGAATATTTACAAATAATATTAAAAATCAGTTGGACTTTAATCCGAAGTCACCTAAATTTTTAAAAAATATATATATATATTGAGTCTGTATTAGCATGAACTTCTAAATCTAGTATACTCTATAAAATGGAGTTAAATTTCATCTAATCACAACAACAAAAATAAGTTTCAAATTTAAAAAAGTAGACATAATAGTTGTAATAGAACTAGTCTCTACCTACTTTTTTGATCGAGTTATTACATAAACTTATTTAATATAAGTTAAAAATTATTATACTGAAACAAGATTTATTATGTGCGCACACGTCCGAAAAAAAAGAAAAGAACTCTCTATAGCTTTGTTAAATGGGAACCTAGCTAGACCTTCAAAATATGAGACTAATTTAAAAGCTTATAGGGTAAGTAAAACAATTCAATTTCTTCCTCTTGTCCTTTTTGGTCACCTCAAAATTCAAATACTCATCCATTTCTTTTAATAGTAAATAAATGATATAAATAGCGTCAAAGTCTTTGGGAGTCAAGTCGTATAAATAACTGAAAGTAAAAAAGTGTTAGCATTTCCACATGTCTCTCATGTTAAGTAACCCGAATCTACGTTTGGTCTTTTCGGGTAAGATTGTTGTGATCGGCGCACTTGACGTGAAATTTGTGTTATAAAGCATGAGATTTCTGTCTTATAATTTTCATCGAATCAGTTCACTCAGAAAATACATAGTGAGAAATTAATAGATTCTCATCGAAATACTAGAAATAACCATAGAACATATTTTATTGAAAATTTCAATGAAAAAATTAGAGATTATTTAGTGTGTATAGAGATATAATGTTATGGAAAACATATTATACAACATAGTATATATAAAAAAAATGTTGGAGCATGATAACAAAATATTGTTATAAAAAAGTTTGATTATTGTTTAGTACAAGAATAAATTAAGAATAACGCAACTATGTATTGTAATATTTTTATACTCTCGCTGTTTTAGGTAAATACTGAGCATATATTTGCTACGTCAAATATTATTTTCATAATTAATTACATTTGCCTGATTAATGTAAATTGATGAAATAGGAAAAAGTAAAAAGAGCTAACAGCAAATTACGGAGTTTGTTGAAAGTGATAATTCAAGAATTATTAAATAAATAACAAGTGATAAAAATTGAAAGTCACATCAAATAGATTCTTATAACTAATAATAATACCTAACATATATATATATATATATATATATATTATAGAGTAGTGAGTCATTTATAATAGTTACTCTAGAGAACAATGGCCTTTTCATGCATAGTATAAAGTTATGGAGGAAGACCTGCAGAATCAATAAAATTTCTAGTACTTTAATAGTATGATGTGATATTTTTTTTTTAATGATAGTAGTGTTCGGGTCAATTTTTGCACTCTCGATTAATTTTATAAGAATACTGTCACCTCCCATCAATAACATGTATCAAGTAACTATGTCCACCAAGACTAGGACAAATGAAAATAAACACTTAATATTTGTTTGTCTCCACTGAATTTTAGTATGATGTAATATTTAATTTTCGATTATCTTCCCTTTAATTCCTTTTACTAATGATTTACTATTTATGTGTCCTAAAGTGCAACAATGTCTTATTCCATTATTCTTCATGTAGCCTCTTTTTTCTTCTTCCAAGGTATAATAATGTTTATATACTTTTTGTTAATTTGAATACTATTGAGATATGGGACATTTTCTATATTTGTGAATAAATTTCATGTATGACCAAGTTGATGATTGGGAAGTGGTTGTCCTTGCGTATAATTAAATTTTGTTTATGATATAGTACAAATCTACTTTTATTTATAATAATAATTATTACATAGCTTGTGGTAGAAGACAATACGCAAAGACACAATAATATCCTCATCTACAAGCACTGATGGGTTAGAGAAATATTAGTACAAAATAAAGACGACTCCACATCTCAGGTCTTAATTATATATTTGTTGCGTGTCAAATAAAACTACTTGTCTCATGTCTATGTATGATTTATTAATGTAGGTACGTAAAATTCTTGTATATCGACCAAGCTAAATTAAAATATAAACCATTACTACTCATTTTGCATAATTTACTACTCCTATAATGGCAAATTATTGATAAAAAGTGTCTCGTCGAAAACGTAATTTGTATTATTCAAATTCTTAATTGTTCCATTAATGTAGAGGTGGTCTAAAATTATAAGTCGATCAGCGTTGTACGAATACACATCCACTACTATTTTGCACAATTGTGTAAGAATTAGGGGCGTATAAAACTGAATCAAAAATTGAATCAAACCGCAAATTGAGTCAAATTGGAAAAAAAATTCGATTAGTGGTTTGGTTTGACTTGGTTTGGTATTGAAAAAAAAAACCCAACTATATTTGGGTTGGTTTGGTCTTAACTAAAAAAAACCAACCCGACATTATATATGTAATTTTAAAATTATATTTTATACATAAAAATATTTACTTTGATATAATTTTAAAATATTTCTTATACTATTTCATAGTTTTTATCTTTTAATATATTATTTCAAGTTGAAAACTTAAAATTCGGAATGGTCCAATAAAGATTATAGTTCATAGATGTTGATAATTATAATAAAACTTAAATCAAAATCAAATTAATACTAATGCAAAAAAAATAATCAATTCAACATTAAGAATGACAATAATATTGAATATTTGTTCTTTAGTTTTACATTGGTTTAGACAATTAAAATACATAATCTAATTTTAATTTTCTTTAAATATTTAGTAATGTAACTAACACTTATTAAACTTATTTTAGGATGATTTAATACTTTTAAATTATGATCATTTTCATTATGACTTTGCAATATTTATTTTATATGGTGATTTCATTATTATTTTTTGTTGAATATTTTAGTGTCATCAGTACTCATCTTATATTTTGTGTTATTTTCCTAAGAAACACCTTAGATAATTGTATTTTGGTTGGACTAAAGAAATATTTGGAGCACAAGTTAATTATATGTTTGTATGCAAACTTTACTGAAAAAATCCGAGGTTTATTAGTTTGGTCTGATTTATAAATTTAAAAATTCGACACAATGGTTTGGTTTGGTATTTGAAAAATCCGAACCAACCCGAGATTGAAAAACCCGAAAAAATCCAAATTTTATTAGTTTGGTTTGATTTATAAATTTAAAAATTTTACACAAATGATTTGGTATTTGAAAAACCTGTACCAACCCGGTTATGTACAACCCTAGTAAGAATTATGTATGTTGTGTGCAATGTGTGTTATGATAAATAAGGTTTCAAATAACCATATATAAACCATATACCACTACTTGTTTGATACACGTACGCCCTTTTACAGTAGTCATACTGACATCGATTGTTACATAAAATCAAGTTGATATATAGTTGATCTAGCTTTTTTAAGAAGAATTTTGCCAAGGAGATTGTATTGGGTAAAAAGATCTTGTATATGTGGTAGGATGCTAGGAGAACACGTGACACATAAGATAGGTGGAGTGTATTCGAAAAAGAATGCTCGATTTAAAGGCATATTCAATAAGTTCGACCAACAGACTTATTACCAGGGTCATTCATCAGAAAAAAGGTGGGAACTCGTGGCTCAAGGACATAAAAAGGACATGTAGCACTCTAGATAAATTCGTACGATATTCTGCCAAAAATAGAGGAATATTAACTGACATAACTAATATTTAATGGGATTCCCATGTGGAATATTAATTACTATTGGGTGTAGTAATATAGGGCATGAGTGAAGTTTTTCTATTGGTTAATATATTAACTTCGTTGTCTATAAATAGTAGTTCTAACATATTTGTAATTTGTGAAGGGTTAAATTCTAAACAATTCCAAAATCAATAT